GCAAAAGAGGCAAAAGAGGGCAAAAGAGGCAAAAGAGGGCAAAAGAGTGCAAAAGAGTGCAAAAAAGGCAAAAGAGGCAAAAGAGGGCAAAAGAGGGCAAAAGAGGGCAAAAGAGGCAAAAGAGGGCAAAAGAGGCAAAAGAGGGCAAAAGAGGCAAACGAGGCAAAAGAGGCAAAAGAGTGCAAAAGATGCAAAAGAGGCAAAAGAGGGCAAAAGAGGGCAAAAGAGGGCAAAAGAGGCAAAAGAGGGCAAAAGAGGCAAAAGAGGGCAAAAGAGTGCAAAAGAGGCAAAAGACGGCAAAAAAGTGCAAAAGAGTGCAAAAGAGGCAAAAGAGGGCAAAAGAGGGCAAAAGAGGCAAAAGAGGGCAAAAGATGCAAAAGAGTGCAAAAGAGTGCAAAAGATGCAAAAGAGGCAAAAGAGGGCAAAAGAGGGCAAAAGAGGGCAAAAGAGGCAAAAGAAGGCAAAAGAGGCAAAAGAGGCAAAGATTGCAAAAAAGGCAAAAGAGGAAAAGAGTGCAAAAGATGCAAAAGAGGCAAAAGAGTGCAAAAGAGGGCAAAAGAGGGCAAAAGAGGCAAAAGAGTGCAAAAGAGGCAAACGGGGCAAAAGAGGCAAAAGAGTGCAAAAGAGGGCAAAAGAGGGCAAAAGATGCAAAAGAGTGCAAAAAAGGCAAAAGAGGCAAAGAGGGCAAAAAAGGCAAAAAATGCAAAAGATGCAAAGATTGCAAAAAAAGGCAAAAGAGGGCAAAAGAGGCAAAAGACGCAAAAGAGGGCAAAAGATGCAAAAGAGTGCAAAAGAGGGCAAAAGAGGGCAAAAGATGCAAAAGAGGCAAAAGAGGCAAAAGAGGCAAAGAGTGCAAAAAAGGCAAAAGAGGCAAAAGATGCAAAAGATGCAAAAGAGGCAAAAGAGGGCAAAAGAGGCAAAAGAGGGCAAAAGAGGGCAAAAGAGGGCAAAAGAGGCAAAAGATGCAAAAGAGGGCAAAAGAGGGCAAAAGAGGGCAAAAGAGTGCAAAAGATGCAAAAGACTGCAAAAGAGGGCAAAAGAGTGCAAAAGAGGGCAAAAGCGGGCAAAAGAGGGCAAAAGAGGCAAAAGAGGCAAAAGAGGGCAAAAGAGGGCAAAAGAGGGCAAAAGAGGGCAAAAGATGGCAAACGAGGCAAAAGAGGCAAAAGAGGGCAAAAGAGGGCAAAAGATGCAAAAGATTGCAAAACAGGCAAAAGAGGCAAAAGATGCAAAAGAGTGCAAAAGAGGCAAAAGAGAGCAAAAGAGGGCAAAAGAGGGCAAAAGAGGCAAAAGAGGCAAAAGAGGGCAAAAGAGGGCAAAAGAGGGCAAAAGATGCAAAAGAGTGCAAAAGAGGCAAACGAGGCAAAAGAGGCAAAAGAGTGCAAAAGAGGCAAAAGAGGCAAAAGAGTGCAAAAGATGCAAAAGAGGGCAAAAGAGGGCAAAAGAGTGCAAAAAAGGCAAAAGAGGCAAAAGAGGGCAAAAGAGGGCAAAAGAGGGCAAAAGAGGCAAAAGAGGGCAAAAGAGGCAAAAGAGGGCAAAAGAGGCAAACGAGGCAAAAGAGGCAAAAGAGTGCAAAAGAGGCAAAAGATGCAAAAGAGGGCAAAAGATGGCAAAAGAGGGCAAAAGAGGCAAAAGAGGGCAAAAGATGCAAAAGAGGGCAAAAGAGTGCAAAAGAGGCAAAAGACGGCAAAAAAGTGCAAAAGAGTGCAAAAGAGGCAAAAGAGGGCAAAAGATGGCAAAAGAGGCAAAAGAGTGCAAAAGATGCAAAAGAGGGCAAAAGAGGGCAAAAGATGCAAAAGAGGCAAAAGAGGGCAAAAGAGGGCAAAAGAGGGCAAAAGAGGCAAAAGAGGGCAAAAGAGGCAAAAGAGGGCAAAAGAGTGCAAAAGAGGCAACAGAGTGCAAAAAAGGGCAAAAGAGGGCAAAAGAGGCAAAAGATGGCAAAAGAGTGCAAAAGAGGGCAAAAGAGGCAAAAGAGGCAAAAGAGGGCAAAAGAGGGCAAAAGAGTGCAAAAGAGGGCAAAAGAGGGCAAAAGAGGCAAACGAGGCAAAAGAGGCAAAAGATTGCAAAAGAGGCAAAAGAGGCAAAAGAGTGCAAAAGATGCAAAAGAGGGCAAAAGAGGGCAAAAGAGGGCAAAAGAGGCAAAAGATGCAAAAGAGGGCAAAAGAGGGCAAAAGAGGGCAAAAGAGGCAAAAGAGGGCAAAAGAGGCAAACGAGGCAAAAGAGGCAAAAGAGGCAAAAGAGGGCAAAAGAGGCAAAAGAGTGCAAAAGAGGGCAAAAGAGGGCAAAAGAGGCAAAAGAGGCAAAAGAGGGCAAAAGAGGGCAAAAGATGGCAAAAGAGGCAAAAGAGGGCAAAAGAAGGGGCAAACGAGGCAAACGAGGCAAAAAAGGGCAAAAGAGGGCAAAAAAGGGCAAAAGATGCAAAAGAGTGCAAAAGAGGCAAAAGAGGGCAAAAGAGGGCAAAAGAGGCAAAAGAGGCAAAGCGGGCAAAAGAGGGCAAAAGAGGCAAAAGAGTGCAAAAAAAGGCCAAAAAAGGGCAAAAGAGAGCAAAAGAGGCAAAAGAGGGCAAAAGAGGCAAAAGAGGGCAAAAGAGGGCAAAAGAGGCAAAAGAGGGCAAAAGAGGCAAAAGAGGGCAAAAGAGTGCAAAAGAGGCAAAAGAGGGCAAAAAAGGGCAAAAGAGGGCAAAAGATGCAAAAGATGGCAAAAGAGGGCAAAAGAGGCAAAAGAGGCAAAAGAGTGCAAAAGAAGGCAAAAGATGCCAAAGAGTGCAAAAAATGGCAAAAAAGTGCAAAAGATGCAAAAGAGGGCAAAAGAGGCAAAAGAGGGCAAAAGCGGGCAAAAGAGGGCAAAAAGGGGCAAAAGAGTGCAAAAAAGGGCAAAAGATGGCAAAAGATGCAAAAGAGGGCAAAAGAGGGCAAAAAAGGGCAAAAAATGGCAACAGATGCAAAAGAGGGCAAAAGAGGCAAAAGAGTGCAAAAAATGGCAAAAAAGGGCAAAAGATGCAAAAGAGGGCAAAAGAGGGCAAAAGAGGGCAAAAGATTGCAAAAGAGGCAAAAGAGGCAAAAGAGGGCAAAAAAGGGCAAAAGAGGGCAAAAGAGGCAAAAGAGGGCAAAAGAGGGCAAAAAGGGGCAAACAAGGGCAAAAGATGCAAAAGAGGGCAAAAGAGGCAAAAGAGGGCAAAAGAGGCAAAAGAGGGCAAAAGAGGGCAAAAAAGGGCAAAAAAGGGCAAAAGATGCAAAAGAGTGCAAAAGAGGGCAAAAGAGGCAAAAGAGGGCAAAAGAGGGCAAAAGAGGGCAAAAGAGGCAAAAGAGGGCAAAAAAGGGCAAAAGAGGGCAAAAGAGGCAAAAGAGGGCAAAAGAGGGCAAAAAGGTGCAAAAAAAGGGCAAAAGATGCAAAAGAGTGCAAAAGAGGCAAAAGAGGGCAAAAGAGGCAAAAGAGGGCAAAAGAGGGCAAAAAAGGGCAAAAAAGGGCAAAAGATGCAAAAGAGGGCAAAAGAGGCAAAAGAGGGCAAAAGAGGGCAAAAGAGGCAAAAGAGGGCAAAACAGGGCAAAAAAGGGCAAAAGAGGCAAAAGAGGGCAAAAAAGTGCAAAAGAGGGCAAAAGAGGCAAAAGAGGGCAAAAGAGGGCAAAAAGGGGCAAAAAAGGGCAAAAGATGCAAAAGAGGGCAAACGAGGCAAAAGAGGGCAAAAGAGGCAAAAGAGGGCAAAAGAGGGCAAAAAAGGGCAAAAAAGTGCAAAAGATGCAAAAGAGGGCAAAAGAGGCAAAAGAGGGCAAAAGGGGGCAAAAGAGGCAAAAGAGGGCAAAAAAGTGCAAAAAAGGGCAAAAGAGGCAAAAGAGGGCAAAAAAGGGCAAAAGAGGGCAAAAGAGGCAAAAGAGGGCAAAAGAGGGCAAAAAGGTGCAAAAAAGGGCAAAAGATGCAAAAGAGGGCAAAAGAGGCAAAAGAGGGCAAAAGAGGCAAAAGAGGGCAAAAGAGTGCAAAAAAGGGCAAAAAAGGGCAAAAGATGCAAAAGAGGGCAAAAGAGGCAAAAGAGGGCAAAAGAGGGCAAAAGATGCAAAAGAGGCAAAAGAGGGCAAAAAAGGGCAAAAGAGGGCAAAAGAGGCAAAAGAGGGCAAAAGAGGGCAAAAAGGGGCAAAAAAGGGCAAAAGATGCAAAAGAGGGCAAAAGGGGCAAAAGAGGGCAAAAGAGGCAAAAGAGGGCAAAAGAGGGCAAAAAAGGGCAAAAAAGGGCAAAAGATGCAAAAGAGGGCAAAAGAGGCAAAAGAGGGCAAAAGAGGGCAAAAGATGCAAAAGAGGCAAAAGAGGGCAAAAAAGGGCAAAAGAGGGCAAAAGAGGCAAAAGAGGGCAAAAGAGGGCAAAAAGGGGCAAAAAAGGGCAAAAGATGCAAAAGAGGCAAAAGAGGGCAAAAGGGCAAAAAAGGGCAAAAGATGCAAAAGAGGCAAAAGAGGCAAAAGAGGCAAAAGAGGGCAAAAGAAAAGAGGGCAAAAAGGGCAAAAGATGGGGGCAAAAGAGCAAAAGGCAAAAGAGGGCAAAAGAGGGCAAAAAAGGGCAAAAAAGGGCAAAAGATGCAAAAGAGGGCAAAAGAGGCAAAAGAGGGCAAAAAAGGGCAAAAGAGGGCAAAAGAGGCAAAAGAGGGCAAAAGAGGGCAAAAAAGGGCAAAAGAGGGCAAAAGAGGCAAAAGAGGGCAAAAGAGGGCAAAAAGGGGCAAAAAAGGGCAAAAGATGCAAAAGAGGGCAAAAGAGGCAAAAGAGGGCAAAAGAGGCAAAAGAGGGCAAAAGAGGGCAAAAAAGGGCAAAAAAGGGCAAAAGATGCAAAAGAGGGCAAAAGAGGCAAAAGAGGGCAAAAAAGGGCAAAAGAGGGCAAAAGAGGCAAAAGAGGGCAAAAGAGGGCAAAAAAGGGCAAAAGAGGGCAAAAGAGGCAAAAGAGGCAAAGAGGGCAAAAAAGGCAAGTGACGCCCCCCGCTCTCCCTGTCTCTCTCTCCCGAGTCTTTCCGGTCTCCCGCCAGGGCGCTGGCAGCGGCCCGACAGCAAGGTCAGGGTGGAGATGGTGGGCGCCGCGGTGATGGCCCCGTGCGTGGCAGCCCGGCCCAGGTCCATGGCGTCCATGGCGGCCATGGCGGTGGCACGAGACAGAAGCGCGTCACAGGAAGCGCCGAGAAACGCCTTCCCAAAGTGTTGGCTCTGTTCCTTCGCTTTCGGTGCTTCCTCGACTTGAGCCGGACAGGAAAGCCAGGAAACCCAGGAAGGCAACTTGAGCCCGTGAGCCAAACGCAGCACTTTGCGCACACCTTTTTCCAGGCTGTTGCCCATTTCCCGTCAGTTGAATCTTGACAGTCTTGACAGTCTTGACAGTCTTGACTCTTTGTTCAAGTCTGAAGTTGCTGTGATCCCAGCATCATACGGCCTAGGCTTCGCACTAGACTTGTTGCCGATCTTTCAGCATCAAATGGGCAGGACAGGCAATTTGAGATCTGAAGGCAGGCGCTCGGATCTGCGCACCTGCCACATCAGTTATGGACCTACGGACGGTCACCGCTTCTTTGGATGGAGGGAAACAACACACCGAAGCTGGATATGCTGCAAGGACGCTTCAAAAAAATCCTGTAAACTGGAATCATAAGCCTCTTGCAGCTGCCTTGGAGCCAAGACCAAAGCCTGTTGGAAAGGTGCTCAACAAGCCAGGGAGCTGTCGGCCGCTGCACATGGCACATGCATCGCAGCCGCAACCCCTACAGGCCCATCGCTACAGTCGCGGCACTCGCTACGGCCGCGGCAGGTGCCAGGCACGGGCACACCCGGAGTGAGGTGCGCGAGACAGCGATGCCCCGGCGAAGGCTCCGAAGGCTGCGAAGGGCCACGCGTCCGCGTCGGGTCAGCTTCGGAGCCGTTTGCCCTCGTGCTTGGCATTGAACCCGGCACGGGGTTCCGACGAGGTCAAGTCTATCACAACTGGACAAGCCCTTCCCGCACTTGCCAAAGCACCTGCCAAAGCACTTGCCAAGGCACCTGAAGCACTGACCACTTGGCTTCACTTCAGACAGTGATTGCCTTGCCGGCTTTGCCTTTCTCACACGGCCTGTGCTTAGGTGTCAAGCGGAGACCCCAGCTTGGCTCTGTGGGGGACCTGGCTTCAATGAGGGCTACGTCCAGGGACACCTGCGTCGCCTGCGTCACCCTCATCACCCGCGTCACCTGCGTCACCTGTGCGTCGGATTTCTAGAAGGCCTCACTGGACACGTGAGTCTGCAGGCGAACTGTGGGCTTGACGTCATAGTTGTCCGTTCAAACAGAGGTGCCCGCAGTGTGGACACTTTGCCCGGCGGAGTACGTCGGAGAAACTCGAATCTTGTAGACCTGACAAACCTCACAGATCTGACAGACCTCACAGACCTGACAGACGCGACAATCTTACACTTCAACTCACAGTTTCGCGGACTTCAGGCAGATCGGATGCTCGGAGTGCTGCTTCTGCATGTGTCACGATGGCTCAGGACCATGGCTTGGCAAAGCTCTACCGTGCTGATGAATCTTATTCAGCCAGCCTAGCTGTTGGGATGCGGGCTGTACGGAGAGATCTCACCGCTTGCAAGCAGTGGCGTTCAAGCCACAGGCACTGGTCACAGTCGGAGGCCTCACAAGGAAGGCGAGTCTGGGCCTCCATTCCACATGTGCTGCCATCAGGCAACGTCTATGCATCCAAACTGACCAGCCTCTCTGCCGGCGTTGCTGGCGCTCTTGCCAAGGCTTCTTCCACACTCCTTGAAGGCATTGCCATCTTGCCGGCCGAGTGACTAACACACGTGGCTTCTGGCATTGGGCGGCACGGCCCATTTGGCCCTCAAGGCCAGAGCGGACCGGGAACCAGATTCAAGCTGGCATAAACTCGGATGGGCAAAAGCGGCAAAGGCTAACTGTAACTGGATGCTCCCAACCGGCTCCAGGCGACTCTGTGCCACGCAGCAGTTGAGACATCTCCAGTGGGCGAAGTCGTCGTTTTGAAGTCGCCGATTGCGGCGCGTATTTTCGGAGGACAAGGCAGCCAACGCAGCCATGGAAGCAGCCATTGGCATTTGGCATCAACTCAATGGACAACCTCTGGGCAGTTGCATTCGAGCATGGCAAGCAGCCCACGGTGAGCCTTTACGCAAGCTCGCCCCTTCTATTTGTGCAGAGTCTCTGCAAGGCATGAATCTACTCTAACTATCCAACTGTCTAACTATCCAACTTGCGGAGACATTCACATCGCGCTAGCAGCGAGTGGTCCGCTTCCTCGCTCAATAGGCTTTGAGCTTGACTCGTTGAACTCGTTGGGCTGGGAAAGCGGCTTGGACTCCGAACTTAGCGCTGCGCTTCGGGATGAGTCTGGAGTCACGGCGCAAGGCGCCTGTGCACTGAAAGCGACTCGAGCGCTCTTTCCTGTCTCGGGCTAGCAGGCCCAACACCCCCAACTTCAGCTCTAACCGCACTTTCGACACAACACTCAATATCAGTTGCTGGCTCTCAGCTGACTCTCAGCTGCTCAGCTTATTTATCCAGGTTGTGCCAGTGGGTTTGGATTATCGGGTCTTGGATGCCCTCAACATCGATTGCAAAGCCGAGGTCGAAAAAACGTGGCCAAGTTCCGTTTGCCTCGCTGGTGGGGAATCCAGGTCCCCGAAACCTTCAAGCACAAGAGTGCCCGCGAGTGCGGTGTCGCCCGTGTCGCCTGCGCCTGGGACCCAGCAGTGTGCTTGCGATCTCTGAATGGCACGGAGTGGCAGCCTGGCTTGCTCTGCACCCACTGTCGTAGCAACCGGAAGAGGCCTCGCGGGTCAACGTACACGGATTCTGCAGAGTCCGATCGGCAAACGGAGCCAAGAGGTCCAAGCGGCTTACGGGGCTTGGCCTTGCCAGCTTTGATCTGAGCCCGATGGGCAGTGTGTGACATCTGGCAAGGTGCACAGGACGTGGCGGACATGGCAGACATGGACGTGGCGGACACGGCAGCCATGGACGTGGCAAATGTGGCAATGTGAGGGTTTAGGCCGAAGTGTTCAGCTCTTCAAAAACGACGAGCTGGAAGAGCCGGGGCCCGGCTAATGCGTGCTGAAGAAGAACGCAACTGCAGCCTCAAAACCCGAATGCTCTGCTCGTCTGCTTGTTGTGCTGCAAGCCAGGGATTGGATGGCGTCTGCGCTCTTCAGCTTGCGAAGGCTTGAGCTGCACGGGCACGGATGCCACGGCGCGAGCGTTGGCCGTGCGACGGCACGGGCCATACGTGGAGTGTGACTGCTCAACGAGTCAGCTGAATCAGCGAACCAGCCAGCCGAGCAGTGCGTGGCACGACCTCACGGCCTCACGGCCTCATGGTCTGATGGAACTGACGGAACTGACCGCCCGCAAGCTGCATCCACACTCCACGCCGGTCACAAACGCAGACGAAGGCAGAAACCGTGGATGTGCTCACGCGTGTTCACCGTGTCACAAGGCTTTTGGGCGCCCTGTGAGCGCAACTGCGTCTAGCTTGTCGGGTGACAGGCTCTGCGCAAGCAAAGTCGGTCTTGCTAGGGCTCGCGGATTGGCATGGAAACACATTGCAATACACTCAATCTTCCAGGATAAGTGGAAGTCCTGGGCCTAGGTGCTCTGCTTTATTCCCGTGGCATTTGTTCTCAGCCTTTTCAACAGGAGGCTTTCAAGCGACAGCTCTTGTGCGGAACGTAAAGACATGCGTGGAGTGGAACCAGCCGCACGTGGGACGTGCTGCATCGCACTATGGCAACAGCGGCCAGGCCGGGAGGTGCCAAGACCAAGGCTCCGGGCAGCTCAGGCAGCTCAGGTATCCTGGCGAACGCGTGCCAGAAGGCAATTCTGTTGCTTGCGCCCCATAGCCACGCGCAGCCGAACGCAGGGGCAAAGCCTGACGTCACTTGAGTCTCCGTTTTTGCACACTCGCAAGCACAAGCTGGCAAAGGCACCGCTGGGACCAAGTCCACCGTAGGCCATCAGGGCAAGCGGGGTCCGGTGGACCCTCGCGTAGAACCAACGGCTGTGATGGCCGCACTTCGGGGTGCGAATCTCGGAGCCAAAAGGGCTACAACGGCACCACGTGCGTGGCGATCCACCGACTGACAGCCTTCACGGAATGCTCAAGTGGAGTGCTGACCGCGCAACCGCCACGGGCGCGGAATGTGTGGAAATACGGGAGGTCTGGCCTCGTGCGTGGAATGATTTGCAGCCTCACCCTGATGACTTGGCCATGCGCAGGCCACACTTGCATTCGGCTGGACTCTTCAAACTCTGACTCTGGCTGGCCGTCATGACCGTCATGACCGTCATGGCCGTGATGGCTGCGCAGCTGGCGGATGCCATGAGAATATGGCACTTCACTCGGTGTGTGTGGCGATGACGGAGCTTGGCATGGCAAACTTCTGCGTCACATCCAGGGGGTCCAGCAAGCGGACCGTCCCAGAGCTGATCGCGGCCATCGCCGCCTGCATCTGGCCGTGGCACAGGGAGCCCTTCAGTGGCACGAACGCGCCAAGTGGCACCAAGCTCGAGGCGCGGACCGAGTCTACGGCCGGCGAATCACCACCACCGCAGGCACCGCAGGCACCGCAGGCACCGCCGGCACCGCCGGCACCGCTGGCCATGATGCTTGTGGCAACGGTCGTAGCCCTGGCAGCCCTGGCAGCCGTGGCAGCTGTGGCCGCAGCGGTTGCAATGGCTTTGCCTTCGGCGAGCTTCGCCTTGCTGGGCATCGGCAAGTCGAGGCCCTCTGCAAATCGCCTAGCAGGCGTCCGAGGGGCTGAGGCGGCTGAGGCGGCTGAGGCTGCAGCGGTCGGCCCTGCACAAGCGGAGCGAACGCACGGCAGCTAGAGCTGCGTGTCTCCCAACTCCGATGCGAGGCCCGGGAGTGCCAGGCCTGTCAGATTCAGGCCACCCAGCCACGCATCACTCCGCTCCCAGCCCAGGCTGCTGGTTTGCTGGGCCTGGCCCGGGGCACCCATGGGCACGCTTTCCCCCCGTGCACACGACGCACCGCAGTGACCCGGGTGACCCGGGTGACCCGGGCACGGCCCGCGCGGCCTTGCTGGATGCACGCAGAGAAACCCGCAGCCAAAGGG